GCTTCCTTCCTTTCCATCAACTTGTCTTCTATGTCACTCACTCTCTCTTCCACCTCATTAACCCTAGCAGTTAGAGCATCCAGTTTGGATTGCATTTCATTTGATCTGTTTTTAATTTCACCCTGATTAGATCTCAATTCTGCAGTAACAAAGTCTCTGGAATCCTTTACACTTTTTTCCAGAGTCACCAGTAGCTTTATAATTATACTTCTGAATTGAATTTCTGAAATCATATTTAAATCCAAATCCTGTAACTCTGTGGCAGAGAGTATTGTTTCTGGTTCTTTCTTTTCTGGTTCTTTTCTTTTTCTAGTCATTTTTTCCAGTGCAGAGTGGCTGTATTAGTGGACTGATTCAAAAATATCAACCATGACCTAGGTAAAATACGCTCTAGATGATTCTGAGGAGGTCAGAGTCCAGAAAATAAAAGAAAAAGAAGAACAGAACAAAATAAAACAAAAGGACCACTAAAGTGAAAAATAAATTTTAAAATTAAAAGTCAAAAACAAAGGAGAAGAACAAAGAAAAAGAAAAAATAGTAAGGAAAAGAGAAAAAAAGGGGGGATGGATTGTGGTGGTGGTGAGGAAATGGTGATGCAGAGATAATGTAGTGTAATGAGGGGTCCTAGAGGGTGATCCTCTTGGTTCCGAGTGTATTTTGTTCTGTATGTTAGAAGATGCTCAGTCTCCAATTTATATAAACCAGCAATACTTATACAGAGTCCCAACATTGATCATAAAAATGTAAACGAGATAAAAGAGGGGGGCAGAATGGGAAGGAAAAGAGAATATAATCTCATAGAATGAACCACCACAGGGTTCCACTTGGTTCTAGGTGTATGTTGGTCGTGTTGTAGAAGATACTAACTTCCACCATTGTAAAACAAAACAAGGCCGAAAAAACAGAAAACAAAATCCATATCTCATGTATCTACCAAAATTAAATTGAATATGTTGAAGGGAATCCTGAAGTGAAAAATATATCTAAGACATACAATTGTAGAAATATGAAAATCAAAAAGGAATAAACTTAAAAAATAAAGAGGTGGTAAAATATTGTAGTTAAGGTGGGAAAAGAAAAAAAATATTGGAGATATTTAGTCTGATATAAAAATGAGTCGTAATGAAAAAAGAAAAAAAAAAAGGACCGTCTAGTTCTATATACTATTGTCCCTTAGTCCTGGAGCTTTCCAGAGCTGCTTGTTCAGTAAACTTGCTCTTCCCTTGTACTTCCAACTGGTCTTCTGGGGGAGGACCTGCTGTGCTGACTCTCAGGCGTGTGTACCTGGGCAGAGATGCCCCCCCCCCCCACCAGGTGCTGGGCTCAGTGGGAGCTGTTTACCCCGGGAGGCCTCTGTTCCCTGGCGGCCCAATCCCTCCCACACACAAGGTGAAACAAAGAGGAAAATAAAAAATGGTGGCAGCCAGATTTCTAGCTCTGAAGTTGAGCTCTCCGCAAGTTACTAACCACAGTCTCCCAGTCCGCACTGGCCTAGGTGCTCTCAGGGCTGGCACAGGTGCACGGATCTGCACAGCTTGGGGGCACCTGGTAGCAGGTGAGAGTCCTTGCTGTCCCGTGCCCTCCCCACTTCCGACTGTCCCAGGCGGCACGGAGGATCGCAGGCCTTGTCTGCTTGGGCGCCCTGGGACCCGGGGCCCGTGCTGCTGGACCCGCGCTCTCCCGCAAGGAACAGAGTGCAGCCCCCTCCATAAGCTGGCAGCCTCTAGGGTAAAGGCAGCTCCGCGGGCCCACCTGACCGACTGGCTTTTCCCAAATACTCCGAGGGCTGCGGCGCTCCAGCCCTTTACCAATATCCGACCCCGGTTTGTGGTGAACTTTCCCCTGGGCACTCCTTCTTATAATGACTCCAGGAATCTTGAGGCTTCACTGCCCCTCTCTCGAGTCTGCCCGATTTCCCTGCTAAGCACTTTTCCATCAGGGAAAACTCCGACTCAGATTTTAAAGTTCTCGCTTCTCCAGGGCTGGGCTTTCATGCCCCTGAATCTTTTGCCACTCTTCTTTAGCCCTGCTAGTTGCTCCCCCAGTTTGTTCTTTTTTTTTTTTTTTTTCCACCTTCCTACCTTGTTAGAAGTGAAAACTTTTCTCTTTGTAACATTCCAGCTGTTCTCTCTTTAAATCTCAGGTCGAATTCGTAGGTGTTCAGGATGTTTTGAAAGTTATGTAGGTAAGTTTGTGGGAAAGGTGAGTTGAGGACACCTGCTCCTCCATCTTGCCATTCCCCCTCCCAGAAACTATTCCATATAAATGCACTGCTATAAGTTACTCACTTTTGGGGGTAATTTGTTACGTAATGACAGATGACTAGTATACTACCTATAAAAATTTCCAGGAGAATACACAAGAAAATAATAACTAGTTGCCTCAGGGGATAAGAAATCAGACAGTTGGAATATGAAGTGGGAGAAAGATTTACTTTTTGTGCTTTATCATTTAGTTACATTCACTCTGTGCTGGGAGGAATTTTTTAAATATGTGTGTATAGCAGCTTAAGTTTTAAAAATTTATGAAGTGAGGGAGCCTGGGTGGCTCAGCGGTTGAACATCTGCCTTTGGCTCAGGTCATGATCCTGGGGTCCTGGGGTCAAGTCCTGCATCAGGCTCCCTGCAGGGAACCTGCTTCTCCCTCTGCCTATGTCTCTGTCTCTCTCTGGGTCTCTCATGAATGAACAAAAAAACCTTAAAAAAAAAAAATTAGGAAGTAATAAGCATCCAGATAGGACCTAAGTCCCAGCTAGGTGCAGAGGGCAGGAGGGAGACCAGGGAGATGAAGCGAGGCTTGATCTAGTGTGGAAAAGTAGAAAGTCACCTTTGGCAATGAAACTTCCAAAAATTTCAGAAGCTTGTTATCCTGTTGCCTGAAGCTCTATCCCAATGTGAAGATCTTTGTAGAGAATTTTGGCCCTCAAATGACATACTACACCCCTGAAGTGTGCTACCACTGTCATGTCAGTGAATTCATTTTGGGGAAGAGGCACTTGTTGCTCGGCTACAACACAGTGATTTCTTCTGCCTTCACTTGGTGGTCTCTATACTTTCACTGAAGTCAAGCTGGTCTTGGGATGCTAAGAAGAAATATCCCCAAAATGTAGCTAGAGCTAAAAGGGTGCATGTCCCTTCAGTGATCTAGGGATCAGTGTTTCAAGGTTCCCCATGGATTGATTAATTTTTTAAGAGAGAGTGCTGTTATCAACTTCACTCTTTATGACTAATTAAGAGCTCATATTCTGTGAAGTTGGGTGCCTGGCTGACTCAATCTGGAAAGCATTAGACTCTCTTGTTTTGTTTTGTTTTTTTTTTTTAATATTTTATTTATTTATTCATGAGAGACACACAGAGAGAGGCAGAGACACAGGCAGAGGGAGAAGCAGGCTCCATGCAGGAGCCCGATGTGGAACTTGATCCCGGGTCTCCAGGATCAGGCCCTGGGCTGAGGGCAGCCCTAAACCGCTGAGTCACCCAGGCTGCCCTGTTTTTAATTTTTTAATTCAACTCAATTCAATTCAATTCAATTCAATTCAGAAGTAGAGTTCAGTGATTCAGCACTGCATATAACACCCAGTGCTCATCACATCCTCCTCATGCCCATCACGCAGTTACCCCATCACCCCACCCCCCTCCCCTCCAGTGACCCTCAGTTTCTTTCCCAGAGTTAAGAGTCTCTCGTGGTTTTTCTTCCTTTTGATTTCATCTTATTTTATTTTTCCTTCCCTTCTCCTATATTCATCTGTTTTTTTTTTTTCCCCTTAAATTCTGCATATGAGTGATAGCATATGTCTTTCTCTGGTTGACTTACTTCACTCAGCATAACACCCTCTAGTTCAGCCATGTCATTGCAAATGGAAAGATCTCTGGGTCCTGAGTTCAAGCACCATCTTGTCCATACAGCTCACTCAAGAAAATTATACATACTTTGCAGCTTTGGGTAAAGTAGCGACGTAAGTCATTTCTGTGTGGTTGTGATGTCAAGCTATGTTTGAGCTAAGGGACAACCAGACAGCTGGTGGAATATGATTTCTGGATGTGTGTGTGGGGGTGTTTCAGGATGAGATTAGCATTTCAATTGGTAGACTGAGGGGAAGACAGGATGCCCTCCCTGATGCAAGTGGGTGTTAAGGCATCTGCTGAAGGTCCCTGGAGAACAAGAAGGCAGAGGAAGGGCAAATTCACTCTCCCGGTTTAGCAGAGATATCCGTCTTCCCCTGTGCTCGTCAGACATCCCAATTCTGGTTTTCAGGCTTTCAGACTCTGGCTCCAGAGCCCCCTGATTCTCAGACCTGCTGAACCAGACTGAAGGGCAGCACTGGCAGTTCTGGTTCTCCCCCCTGCAGACAGCAGATTGTGAGACTTCTGGGCCTCAGTAATCACGCAGGCCAATCTCTACCATAAATCCCCTCTTCCATGTGTCTGGATATGCACTGGTGGTCTCATCTCTCCGGGGAGCCCTGACTAATGCACCTCTGGGAAGGAGAGCCCCAGAGCCTCCTACATGGCATGCTGGACATGAATCTGCTCTGCAGCTAAGCTGGCATACTGATCCTGACACTCTCCACTACATCACCTGCTTAACACCCAGCTCCTCAACAGTGCTCTAAATTGGCTTTAGATCTCAGCGTTTCCCTTGTTAGTAAATCAGTGGAATAAAATGTTTCAAACGTGCCCATTCTATGTTTGTAAAAGACTCATAAATGTTTGGCTTCTGAAAATCATACTTTGAGTTAGAAACTATACCTCAAAGATATTCAGGATAGTTCTCTTAATGAAGTAAAACAGCTACAACACACAGCCACTCTCGATAGGCATAGTTGTCTCCTTTCGGAACATTAGTTACTAAGGACGGAGCAAAGCAGATGATTGTGCTCCCTCCAGGTTTGAACCGGGTAAACAGGCTAAGCTGTCTCAGCTCTGTTTTACCGGACGCTGGATGTGTTTCTGGTTTTCATGATTTCTCATGTTTCACCTTTGGAGAGAAAGAGGGTTACCTTGCAAAAGTCGGCCTCCTCGGTACAGGTGAAGAGCCAATGCCGCCTCGAGGTTCTCTGCCTTGATGAAGTGGGCAACTTCAGACGAGCTCTCCAGGTCAGAGGTATCTTTCAGAAGACATATGTGGCCTGCGGCTTCTAGATGCTCCCTTTACCAAAAAATATAAATAGAGAAAGAAAATGGTGAGGGCAAAACATAAATATGTCACAGGTGGCTACTGTGATTAACATTTTAAATCAAAAAGTTAATAAAACGTATCTTCTGAAATGCCCTGTAGGGACAATCCTCCTAAAATACAGGACAAGGCTCATCATCAATGGCAGTGATGATTCACCCACCAGTGTCCGGTCCCTGAGACTATGGCAAAGACCAAGGCCAGTCAGATGAGGGTTAATTCAGGAAGTCTTCTTGGCAGCCCTTAGACAAAAGGCACATGCTGACACACACTGACATTTTTCAATGGTATTTGCTGGACCAGAGTTCCATTTTTTTTTTTTTAATCTCCTTGATTCTGCATTTTTCTCCTGTCCCTTAATGATGGATGATAATGAAAGTTTGCTTTTAAGCATCTAAAATTCAGTTCTTGGGATGATACTGAAAGTTTGCTTTTAAGCATCTAAAATTCAGTTCTTGGGATCCCTGAGTGGCTCAGTGGTTTAGCGCCTACCTTCCACCCAGGGCGTGATCCTGGAGTCCTGGGATCAAGTCCCGCTTCAGGCTCCCTGCATGGAGCCTGCTTCTCCCTTTGCCTGTGTCTCTGCCTCTCTCTCCCTCTCTTTTTCTCTCTCTTTCTCTGTGTGTGTCTCATGAATAAATAAATAAAATCTTTAAAAAATAAAATAAAATTCAGTTCTTAATAAAGACTTCAAAAGTCACCCATTATCATAGCTTCCAAAGATAGTTCATGTGCCCTTTCCATTCTACCTCCAAAACATCTTTCAGACATATCTTTCTTCTCATCCTGCTTCGGTTTCTTATAACATAAATCTGAAATAAAAATCTAATAAAAGAAATATTCTGAATGGTGACATACTATGAGCAAAATCAAAAGACAGACAAACTGAGAAAAACTACTTACACCACTTACAAAAGGAAAATTAGCTAATTTGCTTAATAAATAAAGAGCTCTCATAAATCAATAATAAGAAAAAAACAATAATAACTTGAGAAAAAGGCTATAGAAAAAGAAATTCAACTGGGCTTTTAGATGTAGGAAATGGTGCTCAACTTCAGTCACCCTTTTTACGTAGAATATTGTAAGGGGGATCCCTGGGTGGCGCAGCGGTTTGGCGCCTGCCTTTGGCCCAGGGCGCGATCCTGGAGACCCGGATCGAATCCCACATCGGGCTCCCGGTGCATGGAGCCTGCTTCTCCCTCTGCCTGTGTCTCTGCCTCTCTCTCTCTCTCACTGTGTGCCTATCATAAATAAATAAAAATTAAAAAAAAAAAGAATATTGTAAGGATCAAAAGCCTAGGGACACCTGGGTGGCTCAGTGGTTGAGTGTATGCCTTCGGCTCAGGGTGTGATCCAGAAGTCCCGGGATCAAGTCCCATATCGGGCTCCTTGAATGGAGCCTGCTTATCTTGTCTCTGCCTCTCTTTCTCTGCCTCTCTCTGTGTCTCTCATGAGTAAGTAAATAAAATCTTAAAAAAAAAAAAAAGAAGTCTGCTGAAAGTTTGTGAAATAAACACTCTCCTATATTATTTCTGAGCAGGTAAATGGGTACAGCCTCTTTGGTGGGCAATGAAGAAACAGCTAGAGTACTTAAAATGTACGAACTCTGTGACCAAACACCTCCACTTCTAGGAATTAATTAAAAAAAAAAAATACATGCACCCAAGACAAGGCTCTGCAGCTATATTTCACTTACCAAACAGACTGGAGACCTCAGTGCTGGTCAGTAGGGGACTCGTTACAATCAAGCTCTGCCTCCATCAAAGGAATGCAGTAGATCACAGTGAAGTACAGTTGACCATTGAACAACATGGGGGTTTGGGGCGTCAACTCTCCCCCACACAGTCGAAAATCCATGTATAACTGATTCCTCCAAAACTTCACTAACAACCTACTGTTGACAGGAAGCCTCGCCACTAACATAAACAGTTGATTAATACAGATTTTGTACGTTATATGTATTATATACTGTATTCTTACAACAAACTGGAGAAAAGAAAATGCTCCTCAGGAAACCACAAGGAAGAGAAAATGTATTTACAGTCCTGTATTTATATAGGAAAAAACTCTGCGTCTAAGTGGGCCCATGAAGTTCGAACCCCAAGTTGTTCAAGGGTCAAGTGTGATTTAGAATTAACTCCAAGACATATTGTTAATGAGGAGAAAGCGAAGAATACTTAGTGTATATATAGTGTGTGTGCACAGAATACCTGCAGGACGCACAAGCAGGAGACAGCAATGATTAGGTCTACAGGGGACAAACATACCCTTTTATGTTGCTGGATATTTCTACCATGGTCAGGTATTATGAGTGTTGGAGGTGTGTGTGCCTGTGTATATACAATGAACCCACCCAGGTCTCTTTGACTAAAACTCTTCCATAGTTCAGGGTAGCCAGCTCAGCTGTGAGAACAGGCCCGAATCTGTCTTGCTTCCTGAATGAATTAATGGCGGAAGACATCTCTGGATCAAGTCCAAAAACCTCACCCTAGCACACAGTGCCCTTCACAGCCCATGTGCCAGCCGCCCCCACTCCACCCACTTTGGCTCCAGACCTGCTTTTCCACCTGCAGGACACCCAGCACATCAGGCATTGGACTGTCCGGTTCCTACTGCCAGCTCCTCTCAGGGACATCCGATAGCTCCTGCTCCCACCACTATCTGTCCTCCCAACACCATCGTGCTGAGCCTCTCTCGCTCCTGATCCTTCTGTACCGCATGTATAGGAACAAGGGAGTTGCGTCGCACTTAGGCTTCAATTACAAAGAGATAACAATCAAGTACACTTAAGATTACCCTTGAGCATCTCTTAAATCATCCAGAAGTCACTATAGTACAAAGTTCAAATCCCACATAGCTTTTTTTTTTTTTTTTTCCTCCAGCAATAAAACAGATTGTTATTTCTTCAGCTAAACACCAGGTGCATTAGCTGGCTTGTATTTAGGGGAAATAGTGTACAAAACAAAGATCAGAATAAAAGAATGAAGGAACTAGAATCTTTGAGCAGAGTGGTCATAAAATGGCCCAGTTGTTTACAAAGTGGGAGCCACAGGCAAATTCAGGAACTCTGAGCAAACAGCAGATTCAGACATCTTGCTCACACCCACTCTGGGGAGTAGGGTGAGAATCATCACCTGCACTACTCTGCAAATGACAATTATTCTCTTTGGGTTTTTTTTTTTTTTGTACTATAATTAAATGCACATTGCTGTAGCTATCACTGGACAAATACAGAAAAGCTGAGTGAAGTAAGTCAATCGGAGAAGGACAAACAGTGTATGTTCTCATTCATTTGGGGAATATGAATGATAGTGAAAGGGAATATAAGGGAAGGGAGAAGAAATGTGTGGTAAATATCAGAAAGGGAGACAGCACATAAAGACTCCTAACTGTGGGAGACGAACTAGGGGTGGTGGAAGGGGAGGAGGGCGGGGGGTGGGGGTGAATGGGTGACGGGCACTGAGGGGGGCACTTGACGGAATGAGCCCTGGGTGTTATTCTGTATGTTGGTAAATTGAACACCAATAAAAATTAATTTATAAAAAAAAAAAAAAGAAAAGCTGAGATCTTGCTTAAGTTACTGAAGTACAAGGAGTATCCTGATCTTATCATTTCCACTGCTATGCTGATCAATCATTATCAGCCAATAACGCTGCCCCTCCCCACCTCACCCCACCTCAACTCCTCTGGAAGGGCTGCAGGCAACCGACAAGCAGAGCTAGGTCACATCAGCCTAAAAGTAAATGTCTTACAAATATCAGATAAGAATTCAATGCGCTTCTGGGCATAAGTGAATAACTGTTATTCCACTTTCTTAAAACTCTAGGAAATAAGAAACCAAAAACAAACGTGTTGATAAACAGAAAATTAACAGTTTGAATCCTACGTAGAGAATCCATTCCTGAGATTTTTTGGTTTATGCAAAACTGATAAGATAGGACATATGGAATGGAGGTGGTTAGGTGCAGATAATGAGTTGTTCTTGATCTATTAAACACATTATTTTTAAATGGCATTTCAACACTAAGTTTATTATCTCATAAATGTTCTAAAATAATTTTTTATATCTTAATTATCTAGGACTAAGAATTTACCCTTGTTTCTGGTTGACTTTTAATGCCTTGAAATTGCTCTAGCCCACTTCTTCTATATTGGTCACTTGATTCAATATAAACTCCACGAGCACCTAATATGTCCAAGGGGTTCACGTTTATTTGACTGAAGACTTTTTTGAGAAAGGAATCATCTCTAACAAATTATGAGATTTTAAGCACTACTTGGTAGTTCTAGGAAGTGATGAATCTATCTGCACATGGCCGACTCCAGACTCAACCGGTCTTACCTGCTTCCACCAGGCTGAAAGCCATCCTCTTTAACTGAGGGAATAGAGAACCTTGATCATTTCTGTGTTTAATGTATGCAAATTTGCATAAACTATGATGTCTGGAATACAAAATATTGCAGGAGGAACTTAATGAGAGTGGGCAACACCAAGGGCATTCCGTTCCATCTCCATGCACCCCTGCATGATCCCGAGATAGGAACACAGGTCCAGTACAATTTGGGGCTGTCCCACCCTGTGGGCCTCTCAGTGTGTGAGCCTCTGGCCAGGCCCAGTGACACAGCATCTACTGGCAGGCCAGCCACCTCAACGGCAGCTTGCGGGGGAAGCAGAGATGCGCTATTTCTGGTGGGGAAAGGTTGGCTGGGCTGAAGAAAATGTTGCCCTTGGACAGTATTTCAAGAGTTTCTGGTGTATAAAAGAAATCACGCTGGCCTTGGAATGATGAGAGTGCTCATGAAGATGGAGGCCCTTTGTGAATGCCTGCACAAACTCGCAGGCCCTAGTTTTGGAAGAGTGATCTAGCAAAGACACTGCACCACATAACTTTCTGTGGATTAAGTGAGATAACAGCACATTCGGAGGACGGGGTGTTACTTAGAATAATGTGGTCAATGTGTGTTATAAACTG